CTGTCGCTCCAGCCTTCTGAACATAATGTCCTGCTCCAAGGACTGGTCCCTCCTGGCCACGTGCCCAAGCTATGTCAGACAGACCTTCAAAATCCTTGCCTCCAAGGAGAAACTTGGTTTCCCCCTCTCTCAGACAGACCTGTTTGTTCTCCTGGCTGTCCATGGCATGTTCAAGACTCCTTCCAGCACCACAAATACTCCTTAGGAAAGGGACCTTGCTTCCCCACTTCCCTCTTCCTTTTCCTCTTCTCATTGTCTCTTCCTCACCCCTCTCCCCCTCGCCATTTTCCTTTATTCCCCTTTTTCCTTTCCACATTTTATAGAAATATCTCCTTTCCACATTTTACAGAAACAACATGTTGTTGTTATGTACCACCAATAATAATATATAGAAATGAAAAAAATACGGAGAATAAAATAGTATAGAAGATACATAAATTACTTCCAAAATCTGCTGCTAATGCTTTCTCTAAACAAAATTTTTTGTGGTGTGAAATTTGGCAAATGAACCAAGAATGTCTGATGCAGCAATTCCATGGCAAGGTGTATTTTTCTAAAGAAAGAAAGCAGTCGCAAAGATTTATGTCCAGGATAATCACTCCCAAGCTACTTGTGCTAATAAAAACACGGAACCAGTTTTCAGCTAAAAGTAAAGAAATGGTTAACAGTTATAACCAAGAGAGAATGTAATGCATCAACTAGAAATTCTATTTTGAAAAATAGTTTACAACATAAACAATTCTTAGGATCTAATATTTTCTGTACACCTTTGAGTCAGAGCTGGCCCACAGCTCACCCTCCAGCAGGTTTTCCGAGGCTGTAAATCACATGGGAGGAGACTGCCCGTCTATCTCCTGCAGGGCTGCTGGTGGAGTTGAACCCTGTATTTTCGGCTTGGCAGTGCAACTCCTTACCACTAACACACCAGCACGCCCTATTAGAGAAACAGCTACATTAATAATAGTCCAGTCATATACTAGAGTAATGTGGAGCCACTGAAATTAAGTTTCTGATGGCTTTTTAATAAATTGGGTCAAATGCTCGCCATTGGTACCAACAGGAGGGGAAAGCAGGATACACAACTGAACAGAGTCGGACCTCAACTGTGTAGGATAATACAGATAAAGGAGACATTAAAAGGCTAACAAGCATTGCCTGGGGGATGGATGGTGGCGGGACAGGTGAAATGTGTTTTCGTGTCTCTTCTTGTCATGCTCTCTGTCTTCTGCAATGTTGCTGTTGTGACCACAGCTCACAGTGCCCCTGTGAACAACAAATCTGAGCCCTGCCCTGTCCGGAGCCGCTGTCACCATCTCAGAGGGGCCCGAGCCAGCTCTCACAGTCTCTCTGCTGACCCACCTTGTTGGAGGGTCATCCTCTCTTTGGCTGACTGTCCACCTTTCCCAGCATGACGTCTTTTCCAAGGACTAGCCCCGTCTGACCACATGCCTGAAGTATTTCAGAGGATGTGTCATCATTCTTGCAATGGGTAAGGGTCCTCTTACCACCAGAAAACACACATTGTTGTTATTTTTGAGGGTCAACTCAAAGGCTGTCTGTTAAAAAAACGAGGGGGCACATGACAGACTGACATGTCCTCCACATCTGCATTTCTGTAGTGGAGCGAGGAGGAGGGTGACTCTTGGACAGAGTGTGAGCCCTCGTCCCTTTCCACCTAAAACACTCTCGGCAAAGACCACTCAGCAGCAGGGCTGCATTCGACGTGGGCATCTCACGAGGTGAATCTTGGACCCGACAGGACTAGGGAACAGCAAACAGCAGCACGTGGAGACGGAGACCTGGGGCCTCAACCTTCAGGCCGCCTTGTGCCTGGTCACCTTGAGCCCCCCGCAGGCCCCCTCCCGGGACCACATCTGCACAATGAGGACTTGAAGATGTCAGGGGGCTGCTGCCAGTTTCTTCAACTTTGGCACCTGGGATCTTCTGATCTCACTGAGGGTTGGGGTCCTACCTAGACCATCCTAGGGATGTTGGGGGTCAGTGCAGGGAAACCTGTCTCTCTCCTGACTGACTGTGAGAGGACCCTGGTCCCAACTCCCCCTGTTGACCTTCTATGTTCAAAGAGAACGATCAGGGGAAGATTTTCTTTCTGTGGAGGCCAAGAGTGCCTCCTGCTGCCACCCCACCAGCTAACAGACTCACACCACCTCAGGTCTCCCCACCTCATGGGAGACCCACACACGGGGGGAAAACCAGCTTTCCCCCTAATGTAGGGGTCGACCAGAAAGAACGGGTGAGGCTCGCACGGCATCAGATGTCCCTGTACCTGGATACTGTTCTGTAGAAAGCTCTGACTTTTCTATGTTTAAAGGAGGGAGGGTGCTGTCGAGACAGGAGTTTAGTGCACAGAAATTCACAGCTGTGCTTCCTTCAGCAACCTGAACATTTGTAAAACAGAGTAGCGTGAAACGTAAATTTCCAGAAACGGTTCCCTCCACCAACACACTGAGTAACAGGCTTGCATTTTAAAGATACAGTAATTCATAATTTGTTTTACACACAACAAAGCTAGTGCCGCGTTTGGGAATGAAGGGGGGCGCACACACTGCCTCGGTTTTAAACTGTGCCCTGGCTACAGAACCTCACACAGACCTCATGTGACTTTCTAAGCCACAACCCATTTTATGAAAAAGAGGTTTTAGTAGTTTAGGGTGTTTCACCTTGGTTTTGGGATTTCCTTCTCTGCTCCTCCTTACGTTTATTTCCATCTCCCAAAACATCAGAAGACTCCCTCCTAAAATCAGTGGCAGGTATTTAAAAAAATTTGTCCCATCCCAGGTGAAGCATTTAACACCTGTGTGCATGCACGCACGTGTGCGTGCATACACACACACACACACACACACACGAGATAAGCACACACATGAGAGTCAGTTTCCCTAGAACCAGGCTCCCATCACCAACCAGCCACCAGACCACCTGCAGGGCCATTCCCGCAGGAGCCAGGGCATTGGAACATGCCAGTCTGTTCACATTCCATCCATCACCCCTGGAAACCCGGCGCTGTGGGTCGCAGGGCAGGAGAAGCTCTGAAGAGCCTTTTTGCAAGGTGCATTTCTCTGTGACTATAGACCCTTCTGCTGCAACAGGCATTGAGACCAGATCTGGGGAGAGCTCCCTGGCTCGCTGTTTGTTTCATTCTCCCAGAACCACACAGACGCCCCCTCGCATTCCGTACAAACACGTCTGCCAGCAGACAGGGAGCCAGATGAGAACCCTGGATAACAACACTGCATATCTCGTCTTTCTGATGAGATGCTTCCCACAACACAATGCCTTTGGGCAGTTAAGACAGGCACAGAAAGTCCCTGAATCTGCTTGGGGAGGGGGAGGAGAGGGAATGAGAGCACTATTGCCTAGGCAATATTTTAACCACACACAGAGGCAACACAAACAGTAGACCTGAGGAGAAATGCAAATCCCCAGCCAGGAGTCTACCTTTTGGTCAAGATTAGCCATGCTGCTCAAACCAGATGGAGTAAAGGAGAGAAAGGAGCGATCAAGGGGCAGGGGTGCAGAGGAAAGTGCCAGGGAGAGGTGTGGGTGCATGGAGGTGGGCAGAGTGCAGTCAATGTGAGGAAGGGAGGGTGGAAAAGCGACCAGAAAAGAGAGGTGAGAGGAGACCCTGTTCCTCATCCACAAGGGCTTAGGTGCTGCCATGAAAACCCCCAGCACTAGCTGCCTATGTCCACTTCGGGTCAGCCACCAGCCAGCCCAGGACCTCCGGGCAGGGCCAGGCTCCTCTGTGGACACCAGGGGTGCGCTCACCTGTCGAAGGCCACGGCCGTCATGGAGTAGATGCTGGCGAACACGGCTGCGATGGGGAAGAAGTTGTGGAACTTGCAGTAGAAGAGGCCATAGTACCACTCGTTGTGGACGGCATAGGTGAAGTTCACCACCGTGTTGAAGGCGGCCATGGAGGCCTCGGCGAAGGCCAGGTTCACCAGGAAGTAGTTGGTCACCGTCCTCATCCGCTTGTGCGCCAGGATGATCCACATCACCACCACGTTGCCCACCACCGAGGTGACCACGATGATGGTGTAGGCGGCTGCCCACAGCACGATCTGCCAGGCGGGCTGCACGAACTGGTTGGGCTCCGAGATGTTCGTGGAGATGTTTGGGGCGGGGTCTGAGTCCGCGCTGAGGACGTTATCCATTCCGTGGCCAGGTGCCTCAGTGCCCTCTCTGTCCACAGCTCCGAGGCCTCGTCGGGAGGGGATGTGGCACACTGGAGACAAACACTTCTGGAGGCGCACGGTGGTTGGCCCCTCCAGGCTCTCAATTCCTGCGCTTTCAGGCTGTGCGACACACCTGAGTTCTGAAATTTGGGGACAGCGTCTCTCGTCTCTCCTCTCTCCCGCGCTGAGCACAAGATGGTCCAGGAATCTGGGTTCTAAGCTGCAGGAGACTTTGCTTCTCTGCACCTGCTGTGCCTTGCAACCCTTTTCCCTTCCTGCGGCTGCAGCGGCAGGAAAGGCAAGCCCAGCGGGGTGGGAATACTGGGGGTGGGGGTGCACAAAGCGATCTGCAAAAGTTCTGTGTCTCCCTCTCAGAAGGAGTCTTGCATCCGCCTGGAGACAACTGCTTTGCTTTCGCTGCTGCTTCGCCAGCCCTTCCAGGCTCTGGTCCTCCCGGCTGGAGTTAGAAGAAGCTGGCAGGCTGCGCTGGCGCCTTTTATAGCCGGCTACCCAGACGTCACCGGGAAGGGGGCGTACCTGACTGCGTGCTCACCAGTCCCTGTGCGCAGCGAGGCGGTTGCACCAGCGGTTGGCAACTGTCTCACGCCAGCGCCGCAGCCACCACGCCTTTGGCTGCTACCTGCTTGGGCATCTGCTCGCCGGGCGCCCCCGTGCAGCCCTCGAGGGGGCAGCGGGTGGCCTCGGAGCCAGCTGGGGTCTGCAGCTGAACCCACAGTGGCAGGCGCGGTGCTGGGGGAACAGAAGGGCAAGGGAAACAGCTGTGGTGAGAGCTGCTTGCAGGGAGCATGGCCAATGCGACAGCTCTGCAGAGGCTCCGGCTCTGTGAGGCGGGAGCGGGGCACGGTGGGGACACTGTGCGTCCCAGCCTGCGCTCCCAGTCCCGCTGGAGGTGGGGACACCATGCCAGCTCTTGCCAGCCTTCTGCTCCGGGCTCCCCGAGCCACTGCCCACCTCAGGTGAGCAAGCACCCATTGCCAGGCCAAGTGTTCCCACAACTTTGCCGAGGTTGTAAGAACTAAATCCCAAATTCCTCGCTTCGCCCCCCCCCCTCCCCAGCAAGTGGGTTCCTTCTGGAAGCAGGGAAAGGCTCAAAGCTTCAGGGACACTTTTCCTAACAACCCTCGTGGCAGGCCTTTGACTGGATAAGTTCCACGGGAACCCTCGGACTGGCTCCTTCTGGAGCTCAGCTGGGCTCTGCGCAGAGCTCGGCTGCCTGCGGTCCAGACGCGCGGCCCTGGGCGCCCTGCCAGCACCCACTGCAGCCTCGCGCTCACTGCCAGGGTACGTGGGCGCCTCTGCGTTCCCCGCAGCCTGTGGGTCAGCATGGTGTCTCCCTCTCAGGTTTGATTAGCAACTGGTGGTGATGGGCCAGCCTCTCTCCTCCCCCAGACCCCACCCCCTGCCTGCTTTGAGACAGCCTCTCCAAGCCCCAGGCCATTTCAAATGGCTGCGCGCTGAGCCAGAAAGGGATCCCCAGTCGGTCTGAACCCTTCCCGAGAAGACAAAAAGCTGAGCGCCCAGCGTTCCCGCTGGGTGCAGTTTCGCTAGAGAACTGAACTGCAGGAGTCATTTGGGGATGAGATTCCCGAGCACCAGTGAGCAGGGGCTGAAGCTGCACACAGAGGTCTGAGCTGGCACACGACTGCGCTTTCCCGGGAGGGCGCACATTTACGCACAAGTCCTGTCTGATTGCGCGCCTCTGCATGAGCGCAGCAGCGCGCAAACTATCGAACAAGAAGCTCTTCGAGGATGGGGAATTTATTGCGTTAAGGCTGGGTTATAACCAGATCCCCGCCAGAGGATCCCCTAGTTTATTCTGGTTCTCTTCAAGCCTGAGATTCGACTGTTTAAAAGCATCTCACTTTGTTTGTCCTATTCCCCTGGGCGCCCCCAAACCCTAAGAGAAAATCCAGTTATGCTCTGAATATAAAACGCCCCCTTATATAGGGAGAGAGAGGCAGGAAGCTTTCCTTGTGGAAGGGGATGGGAAAGAGAGAATGGAGGGGTGCACATCCCATGCCAGTTTTCTTCTCCACTACCTCTGGGGGGAGGGAGAGGGAGAGAGAGAGAAAGAGAAAAAGGGTGTGTGTGTGAGAGAGAGAGAAAAAGGGTGTGTGTGTGAGAGAGAGAGAGAGAGTAAGAGGGTGTGTGTGTGAGAGAGAGAGAGTAAGGGGGGGTGAGAGAGAGAAAGAGGGTGTGTGTGTGAGAGAGAGAGTAAGAGGGTGGGGGTGAGAGAGAGAAAGAGTGTGTGTGTGAGAGAGAGAGAGAGAAAGAGGGGGTGTGTGTATGAGAGAGTAAGAGGGTGGTTGTGTGTGTGTGTGAGAGAGAGAGAGAGAGAGTGAGTTAGTTTATGCGTGAGAGAGAAAGAGCGAATGCATAATTGAACAATTCCATGCCTTTCCTCCTTTCCTCTTCCTGCAGAGCCCTTCCCTTCTCTCTCCCTGCTCCTGCTTGGGGAGGGCAGGGCTAAGAAAGCGCAAAGTGTAGCCATGTTCACCAGTGCCGCATTGAAAGCACAAGTTCATCTATGGGAGTAAGGGGCTGACAACCCAGCAGGACAAAGTTTACATTTCAGGAAAGGAGCCGGAAGCATCACAGAGCCCACAGTATGAGCGTGCACGAAGGTCCAAGGTCCTGATGGAGCAGAGAGGAAGGCGCACCAACACAGGCGGTGAATGTCAGGAACAGGGGAAGCAGATGCGTGGAGAGAGACCTGAACAAAGTGTTCGACTGGGAGGAGGCCCAGAGAGAACCGAGAATGCTCTAGACTCAGGTCTTGTACACACGGTCTATGTCGGAGCCCCACAGACGCTGCCTGGCTGTCTTAGAACAGCACCGAGATCCCCAGCAAGGGCTCACCAGGAAAATCTGCTGCCTCGGATCTCTGCTCAGGGCCAAGAACGTCAGCTAGGGACTAAGGGGCGCCTGGTCCGGTCCACAGTCTTTTCAATAACTTGTTATGTATCAGTGGATACGAATAACAGAAGAAGAATCAATGTCCTTGGGAAAGGTGGAGGGTCAGAGAAAGACGCTCAACAGGCTGGCCTGAAGCGGTCACTGCAGTAACGGGCTTGTGTGGGACGGAGGTGGTGAGGATGTCCCAGAGAGCACAAGGCTCAGACCTGCTGTTCACGGGGTCACTGAGTCACAGCCCACGCGGTGGCACCTCACAGCATCCTTACTCCGACCTGCAAGGCTCTGACTACCCCCCTGTCCTGCCTCTGGTTCCTTCCGCTTTCTACCTCGCTCAGCAAGAACTCATCACCTGGATTGTTCTGTCGCTGCCAGGCTTCTCTCAGCCTTAGGGTCACTGCAGAACAGTCCCCTGGAATTCCCTGTCCTCCGATTGGATCCTAGCCCGGTTGACACTTGCTTCACTCAGGTCTCGGCCCAGGTTCCCCGAGCCCCTTCCCTCTGCAGTATCCCACCCCTCACCTCTGCCCCCTGCCTCCTTCATCATCTGAATTGTTAGATGTCACCCAGTCCAGTGTGACTCATAGTGACTCATAGTGACCCTGAACAGCAGATCTGACTCCTGTCCCATCCTGTGCCGCCCTCACCCTCTCGGACACACCTGAGCCCACTGCAGCGGTTACTGTGCCAATTCATCTGGTTGAGGGTCTTCCTCTCCTTTGCCATCACCCCCCCCTTCTCAAGCAGGATGTTCCTCTCCAAGGAACAGCCTCTCCTAGAAATACGGCCAAAGCACGTGGGACAGAGCTTTAGAATCTTTGCCTCCAAGGAGCAACCTTCCGAATGGCCTTATGTAAATGACTCTGTTCGTTATCTGACTAACCGACATCTCTCATCACCTCACGTGTAAGGTCCATGTGTAAGGGGCGCTGCTGGCTGGGTCACTCCCTAGAACAGGACCCAGCCCCTAGCAGGTACTTTTAAACATCCGTGGAATTACCGCTTCCAGGGGGATGAGCACTTTGGTGTCCCTGGATATGATGCACTGTGTCCAAAAGACTCCTTAGCTTGAAGAAGTCCTGCCTCACAGTAACCTACGGTAACCTTGAAGGCCAAGGAGTTCCCACAGGGCGGTCAGGGCTGAAACCTTTAAGGAACAGATGTTCACATCTTCCATCTGCTGGTAGATTTGAACTGCCGATCTTCTGATTAGCAGCCTAGTTCCATGAGGGCTCCTTGACATGCCATGTTGCTGCTGTTGCATACCACTGAGTCGGAACCAACTCACAGCCGACCCTCCAGCAGATTTTCAGAAGCAGTAAGTCACATGGAAGGGGATTTTCCACATCTTTCTCTCATGAATAGGCTGGTAGGATCGAACCACTTGCCTGTGGGTTGGCAGCAAACTCCCACCCACGACCCCATGAGAGCCCCCTGATGTCCCACGCAGGCGCCCCCAGATAGAATCTGCTCTCCAGATTAGAACTGCTTGGCTGTATGGAGAAGGAGCCAATGTCTTCTGGTTACGCCAGACTGACTGTCCCCCTCAAATAAGAGGAGCTCTGTCTGTCTTCTTAGTGACAGGATCACCCTTCTCGCCACATCCACGCGACCAGCGGGTTTTAAGCTCTCTTTCGTGTTTGTCAGTCTGATGGATGTAAAACACTCTCTCGCTGCTCTTACCTGGCGCTCATTCTCCTGACTGTCCAAGACTGACCTCCTCAAGATTTCTTGACTTTCAGGATCATTCTCCTCTATAAATTGTTCATATTCCTTGTTCATTTTTTGGTTGATTTGCTTTCTTGAGTTTTTAAATAATTACTCTTTATATCTCAAAACGTTTTCCTGTCGTGGACATTTGGAATACCTTTTATAACACTATTACATTAAATTTATGTATTTGCCTTAAAAACAATTTATGTAGCCTGTCCTCGCTTTGCAGCGTGTGGGGCTTCCAGTCTTTGTTTAAAAGTTTTACCAAATCTGGCTTATATCACACTCTTCTAGATTTCCTTGGCAACTGGTCATTTTTAAACATTTTACATTTAGGTATTTCATTCACTTGGGGTTTGTTTTTCATA